ACGAAGAAGAAAATGACTTATATAACCGTTTCAGAGACTATTTAATGTGAATAACGCTTGGAAACGCTGACTAGACGTAAAAACGGTAAGAAAAGTGATGATCACGTTTTTTCTTGCCGTTTATTACCGTTTCCTAATAGAACGGATGATTATGACAGTTTAAACGGCATTTTCAGCGTTTCACTTCTTCCTGGGCAGAGATGTGCACAGGACAAGATTTTTCGTGGTGTCCTGCCCTGTCCTGTGCATATCTATGATTTTGATCGAAAATATCTGAATTATCAATGATGATAAACGATTAGTAGCCTTTCTCTTCAACGAATCCTTGAATAAATATGATGAATCATTCTGATAAAGACAATCATCGCTCACAATATACCTCGAGTCATAGAAAATAGCGTGTGAAAGATGCAACTCCTTCAAAAAAATAATACGAATAACAATAAAACAAAAAGGTTTGCAGGACAGCAGGACAAGCTTTTCGGTCCTGTCCTGACCTGTCCTGCCAGCTATGTTGTCCTGGCGGAAGGCAGGACAGGACAGGAATAAAAATCACGTCCGGTCCTGTACTCATCTCTGGTTGAGACGGAAAAAGAATACTTTATTGTAGTGTTGACTCTGACTAGGCACGTGTATTACAAGCAGAAAGAGCAGTACTATTGATTTCTTCTCTGATAAGAATATAAGTAGAAAAAGCAAGACCTTTTTTACCCAGTCGCGTTTGAAGGAGGGATTTTGTTTCTTTTTTTATCTCTATGGAACTTATGGAATACTTATTAATGATGATGAAAATATTTTAGCATATCCGCACTCTCATTTCACGTTCGACAATACTACCATGGCTAGTCAAACAAACCAAACATCAGAGAGCGATAACGCCACAGCTCAGCCTACACTGAGTAATCGCTCCGAGCCAAAGTGCAGTGGTTCGCGCTTCATTTTACGATACAAAGGGCCTAGAACTTTTATACGTAGTGATGGCCATCATCAGCTGCCACCCAATAATCAACAAGGTACTGTTTCTCCCAGCTTGCCACCGTATCGAGGACGTGGTAGCATTAATACTCCCAGTCAATTCCGTAAACAATTTCCTAGCAAAAGTGCATTATCTCAAGACGATTCACAGATGAACGAGTGCTATACGGAAGAAGAACAAAATTTAAGAAAACACAATATGCATCATCGCTCAAATTCCAGACCAAAATTGTTACCTCGTACTCAATCTGCCAATAATTTGACCGTGCCACTGCTATCCAAGGAAGATATCATGGAAAAATTTGAATCCTTACAACAGGTGCACGAAAGTTCCCTGCAGATATCTGAATCCACTGATTCACTGCAATTTCACTGTATCCATCATATTTGTTCTTATCATTTTTTTTCAATTTTTAGAAAGATGTATTTGAAGTTACGGATCAACATCAATTACTCATAGTTGAGCAAAGATCGCTGTTATTGAGTCTTGAAGAAGACAATGGCATGTCAGCTATAAAACAAAGTTACATTCAACAATTGGAAGGTCAGTTGGAAACATTTGAAAATACTGTCTTCACTCTTTATCTTGATAACTCCATGACGTCTGAGACAATGAGCAATCTGTTGAACAAGTTGAAGCGAGAAATCAAACGGCTCTCAAATCGTTTGCCTATCTATGCACAACGCGACGTGTTAATTGATGCAATAATGTATAATCAAGTAGTAATTCTCAAAGGGAATACTGGTTCAGGCAAGAGTACTCAACTGGTTCAATATTTGGTCGATGCGGGGTTGGCCGATCGAGGTTTGTTTGATCGATTATTTTTCGTTTTTTATTGTTGTGTTTTCTATTTGGCATAGGACAAATCATTTGTACTCAACCTCGACGTTTGGCTGCACGACTATTAGCTTCTCGTGTAGCGGAAGAGTTTGGATGTCAACTGGGTAAAGAGGTAAGATGACGATCTTGACAATTTCTTGTTCTGTCACTGATGTGGCTAATGGCTTTCAAGATTGTAATTAACTTGTTTTAAGATATTGCTTACTTTTAGGTTCGCTGCGACATTTTTGGTACATGCTGCTCATCGCCACAAACCAAAATTCGTTTCGTCACTGAGGCTGTCCTACTGAACGAATATCATGCTGATCCAATGTTATCCAATTACTCCGTAGTAATTATCGACGAAGCACATGAGCGACGCCTCAACACTGATATACTCTTCGGTGTGATGAAGTTATGCCTGCATCAACGTAAAGATTTAAAGGTAAGTTATTTAATTCGAAAGCACATATCCCATAATAGATACTATGATTTGTTTACACGTCCTAGCAAATGTATGATTTCATATTTTTTTTTCCTTTACGCGACATTTATTCTAAACTGTATCTGTTTCATAGCTGATCATCATGTCTGCAACCATGGATAGCAATTTGTTGCGCAAATATTACAGTGGTGCTCATTTAATTCAAGTTTCTGACCAAATATTTCCTGTCGAAGACGAATATGTTGATGAAAATCCTGAGAAATACGTTGACGCAGCCATAGATAAAGTTCTTGAAATTCATGCAAGCCAAGATCCAGGAGATATTCTCGTCTTTCTTACTGGTCCTGACGAGATTGACCGTGCTATCACAGAAGTTAAAAGCAAAATAGATCGGTCAGATTCCGTTCTAGTTTTACCCTTGCATGGAAAACTAAATGAGCAAGAAACAAAAGTAGTATTTACACCCACAGATCCGAAAAAGCGCAAGATAATTTTTGCAACCAATTGTGCCGAGACTTCTATAACTATCGATGGCATCCGATATGTTGTCGATTCTGGTATGGTCAAAGAAGTCATGTGGGATTCAGAACGAAACACTCAGGCACTTAAAGTCGGTTATACTACGCAGAGTTCGGTCCAGCAACGACGCGGCAGAGCTGGACGAGCTGCGCCGGGCAAGGTGAGTAATTGTTGGTTTTAATACATCTACGTAGTTCATTCATATTCAACTGAAGCCTCTTGCTTTTTCTCTTTAGTGTTATCATCTTTACACTTGCGATACTTACGAATCATTGGACCCTTATGCTCGAGCCGAAATTCTTTGCATTCAACCAACTGTAGCTGTGCTCAAACTGAAATATCTGAAAGTAGTCGATGATTTCTCAAAATTCGACTGGTTGGAAGCCCCATCGGCCAAGAGTCTTCAAGATGCGGTTAGTGCTTTGACCTGGATCGGTGCTCTTGATTCACAAACGGGCAATTTGACTAACTTGGGTCAAGATATGGCGATACTTGGTCTTGAGCCTATGCTTTCGGCCATGATTTTAGCCGGAAAAGACTATAACTGTTCCAGTTATACAATAGCTCTAGCTGCTATGCTGACTGTAGCACAGAATATCTGGTGGCGTGGCAAAGACGAACGATTAAAACAGCTAAGCAATGAAAAACGAGCTTTGTTCGTCTCCACTTCAGGTGTTGGCGGTGATTATCTTTTACTTTTGCGCATCTTCTTGGAATGGAATGCGTTAGGCAATAATAGAGACTTGAAAAGGGACTGGTGTCACAAGTATATGATCAATGGTAAATCTCTGAAAATCGCTAGTGATTTTATTCGAGAAACTTCATCTCAAATGCGTCATCAATTTCAAATAAATTCTAAAGAATTGAATGACGATCTACCTGATCGCATCATACGTTGCATATGCGCCGGTTTCTTTCAGCATTTGGCCATTGCAAAAGACACTGCTCGTGGTAGTTACCAACTTATAAACAATATTACACCTACGACTGCACAACTGCAACCATGGTCAACGCTCACATATACTCAACAGTCGACTAAATTCGTACTCTATTTCGAAATACTCAATCTGAGCAACACTACTCTTTTGTGTGTAGCATGTCCAGTTGAAGCGAAATGGTTGAATCAACATTGGCTCAAATCTATACCACAAATAGCTCTGCTGAGTACACTTCAAAGTTATGATTTCAAGAATCTTGGTGTATCACTCTTGCTTTCCATAGTCGGCAAGGGTCGTTGGAAACTGCCGGCTCTTGAAAAATCCCTGCAAGTAACTTTCGAAGTTAATTATAAACAAGCGATGCTCACAATCTGGGGTCAACCGGACAAACTTGCCGAAGCGAAACGTCAACTTCAACTAATAATAGATCGAGAAAGTGAAAAACTTCGTACCGAAGTACAAGAATACGAAATCGTTGGTTCGACTAGAATTTTACTCGGTGCTGGTGCCGAACCGCAGCTGGTGTTGATCCGAGACGAATTTACCAAGGTTTTGCTCACCAACCTGCCTATTAGTTTCACGGAAGAGCAAATAGAACGTAAATGCCAGCTGCATGGCCCAGGTAAAATTTTTAAAAAGATAACTAAACAGTTGTCTTTTTAGAAAGATACAGAAATAAATGTTTGAACTTTATATTCATTATAGTTCGCTATGTGACCATGATTCAGGCCAGTCCAGGTGACAATTCGGCTTCAGCTACCTATTTTACATGTGATGATGCTCGACAAGCTGTTACTAGATTATCACATGAAATATGGGATGGACAGGAGATTAATGTCAGTCCCAGTTATGCACGTACGTCGGTCTATACAACTACACAAAATTGCAAGTTGAAAGCTCAATGGTTTATGACCGAGTCCGAGGGTCGTGGTCGTGTGAATTTCAACCAAGAACAAGCAGCACAGAAGGCCTGTACAGTGTTCAAAAATACAATTTATCGTGGACGACCGACAAGAGTAGAGTACAAGAAAAATATAAAAGAATCTGGTAAAGACGAGTTAATAATCGAACTTTTTGAATTGCCATCTGATATTGATGAAGAAGTTCTTCTTGAAGAGCTCAATCGGCACCGTCTAGCTAATTTTATGACAAATGTGATTGTATTTCGCAAGAACCTTCCATCAGATAGTCCATTAGACAAATTCAACGAGACAGCTGACGAAGACATTATGGATCTAATGCAGTTCAAATCTCTTTTCACAGATCGCCAAAAGTTTAATTCTGTACCAGATATTCAAATTCATCCATGTACTGTGGATGGTCGTGTCGTTGCGTCTATTCTCTTCAGTGATCCTCGTGACGTTATGACGGCAATGAACATGTACAAAAAAGATACTTCTGATCCGTTAAAATTCAAGCAATTCAAAATTCATTTTGTGCCTAACATTGATCATATCATTGTACTCAATGCGGATTTGGCAAAGGCCATACCACATCAAATTGAGAAAGCTATTCAGACGATCCAAGCTGATCCTCAATTACCTGATATAAGATTAGTCGATGAGATCACCTCCGAAGACAATCAAGAGATTAAACGTATTACCATCAAAGGAAGAAATTTAGAACAAATTCAAAAAGCATGCATCATTTTCGATAAACTGATGAAGGGCTTACCATTCAAGTTTCACAGTACATCATGGGTTCGTAATTTATTTCTATATCTAGCTTCAGATTGCAAATTGTGTTGAGAACTATTGTACGAGAATTTTCAGAAAGGTTTCTACAGATAGAAAGCATTGTGATTTTATTTTGACGAGTCAACATCGTTAATATGTAATGCCTGCTAGTTATCTTTTAGGTCTCAGCTATTTTTAACACAGCCGGTAAAAAATTCCTTATCAATCTGCAGGATCGCACCAATACCTATATCTGGTGGAACTGGTCATCGGCGCAACTGACTATTTTTGGCGAAGAGAAAGCACGTAATAATGTTTATCGAGAAATCGATACTTACATTCAAAAAGTACTTCCTAAACGTGTATATTCTATTTCTATTAGAATTCCTGAAGGTTTGTAATAAACGAATCATTATTGATTTTTCCATTCTTGCTCAATGACTTCCTTTTTCAATTTTACAGTTTGTGCTCGTCAGTGTTTAGAGAGATCAAGTGAAATCTACGAATTAGGTAATGAAAAAGCCAAAGTTCGCATCAATATGATTAAACAGCTAATCACCGTTCGCGGAAATCGTAATGCAGTGACGGAATGCGAACAAAAAGTTAATAATATTCTTGAGAAACTTGTGCTCTCGTCCATGGGATCTGCTACAAAGACAATAATGGCAACAGATATCGAGCACATATGCTTGATATGTGCTGATAGCTTCAATGAACCATATTCACTGCAACAATGTGGGCACACGTTTTGCCATTCGTGTTTAAGCGATTATTTTGAGACCCATTTTGACACAACTATGAGTTCTGAAACGTTCAAACTGCGCTGTCTATCATCCGATTGCAATAAAATCTGTCTTATTCGCGATATTCAGTCTGTAATCGGATTCGACAAGGTGGCTCGTCTTGCAACAATAGCTTATCAAATTCACATACGCGAACCGAAAAATGATCTTGCCCAATGTGTAGGCATCGATTGTAAACAGGTAATGCAAATTCAATCAGTTTTCAAACAGTTTCTTCAGAAATCTTATGTTTATTCTAGGTGTATCGTCCCTCAGAAAATTCGTCAATTTATTTCTGTGATCAGTGTATGAAGGTGTATTGTATAGGGTGTCAAGTTGAATATCATACAAATATGACATGTAAAGAATCTCAAGCAGTAAAACAGAAAGAAAAAGATGCTGCTTTGCTGAAGTATAATCTAGGCGATCTGCCATACAAGCGTTGTCCAAAATGTCAAACACTTATTGAGAAATATGCTGGATGTAATGCTATGAAATGTACGCAATGTAATCTAGCCTTTTGCTGGGTATGTACGTTAACGGATGAAGATGATGGTGAGTTTAAATTTTCGAAAATTAGTTAACTCATATTGAATACTCGTTTTTCATTCTAGTGCATTTTCACTATAATGACAAAAACTTTCCATGTTACGGCAAATGTTTCGATCTCATGGATCTTGTGTCATAATCAACAGTATGGTTCTTACTTTTTACATGGAGAGAAATATTATTTTTCCTATAATTTTGAATATATTTCTATAAAAAAGACAGAAACAATAACTGTGTTATTTTTCGATCGCATCAAGGGATTACACGTTGTCAAACTGAAAGGTGAGGGTGAGGGTATGAGTGTTTCTTTATTGTCTCATACAAAAACCATTCTTCAGAACAAATCAGATTTCTTTTGAAGAGAGAATCATCAGTATTGCAGTGTTATCAAGAATGAAACATTTAGTGCATTTATATGTTGAAATGATCTTTGGATTTACGACCGAAGGTTCAGAAACTACTAGCAGATTTGAAAGAATTGAATGTTTTACAAAAATCTGTTCCATGAGTAAGCGCTGGTGCTCAAAATATTCTAAAAACCTGCCTAATACAAAAATATTAGCATTTACCATAAAATCAACACCTTCAAGCCAAATAAAAATGTTCATTATAAAATGTATACAAGGGTTTACTACGGAGTAGGACAAGCAATGCTAATCGCTTTGTTTTGTTCTTAACCCATTCAACCCGATTCAGTTTTCTTAGAAAATTTTTTCGAGATGTTCAGTTTCATGGACAGTTAACTTTTAATAAATGCCAAGGGGGAAAAAGCTGATTCTATGGTGATAGAATCACTCAGAATCACACAGAATCAATAGAATCATTCAGAATCACATGGAATCACTTGGAATCACATACAATAAAACACCTAAAAAATGCATACCTATGCTTCTTATCAAGCTGGATCGAGCACATTTCATCACTTAGCAGCAGTTAATAAGATTTTTGTCGTTTTTTACCAAGTAGTAGAATTAATTTCATCATGTTACAACAAAGAAGCAAATTTTGTTAAGCCCGTGTATATTTTCTTCAGAAGCATACACGTGTGTAAGTTCAAATCGAGAATTTTTGCAACTTCTTGGTTCTAGCAATGGCGAGTGAGAAGGGGAGGAGAAAGTCAAAGATTATTTGGTAGGTTTCTATAGTAACGAGAAAAGGGGTGTTAACTTTAACGCTGGTTATGTCATTCTGAAACTCTGTACACTCTAACTACGTAGTCTAGAAATGACAGGTTTTGTTATTTAATGCAGAGAAAGAGTGTTCTTGTAGGTATCATTCAGTAGGTCGATTCTATTATTCATCTAATAGAGTGAGAATAGGATGAGCACGTAGAATTACGAAATAGTTGAATTCCAAGTGTAGAAGAAACTCAACATTATATCTCACAATTTGTCAAAAGATATAATAGTGTACCAGATTCTCCATGAATGATCAAATCAATGTATATGTCGCAGGAGAAATTAAAATTCAGGAAAATTTAAAATTTTCCTAGGAAAAATTAAAATTTTATTTTCTCCTAGTACAACTTAAAATTTCAATTTTTCCTAGAAAATATCCAGTTAAAATTGAAATTTTAGTTTCTCCTAGGATAAATTAAAATTTTAATTTTTCCTATAGGAGAATTTTAAATTTTCCTGAATATATAACGTGCGATGCAAAAGTAATGGTACAAAATGTGAACCCCTATTTCTCTTCGATAGGCAGGTGCTGAAAGAAAACTTTTTTAAACTAAAGATAGAGTTTTTTTCTCCTCTTTCGAATCGTATATAATTTATTCTTATAACATGTTTGTAAACGGAATGACACAACAAAAAAGAGAGCTACCAT